TCTTGTTCCTGATTTTACTTCAATTGCTTTGAGTTTTTCTCCATTTAGTTTGATGTTGGTTATTGACTTGTTCTCTATTGCCTTAATTATCCTTATATCTCTGATCTCTCTAAGACCTTTATCTTGAAGGGGTGTTGGAATTTGTGGAAGGCTTTTTCAGCATCTAATGAGATAATCATGTTTTTTTTCTTTCAGTTTATTTACTTGGTGGATTACATGGATAGATTTTCATATGTTGAACTATCCTTGCAACTCTGGGATAAAGTCTACTTGATTATAGTGGATGATTTTTCTGATGTGTTCTTGGATTTGGTTTGCTAGTAATTTATTGAGTATATTTGGATCAATGTTCATGAAGGAAAGTGGTATGTAATTCTCTTTCTTACTTGTGCCTTTGTGTGATTTGGGTATCAGGGCAACTGCAGCCTTGTGAAAATACTTTGGCAATTTTCTTTCTGTTTCTATTGTATGAAAAAATTTGACAAGTATTGGTGTTAGTTCTTTGAAATTCTGGTAGAATTCTGCTCTGAAACAATCCATTCTTGGTCTCTTTTTTTTTGGTTTGGAGACTTTTGGTGACTGCTTCTATTTCCTTGGGGGCTATCGTTCTATTTAAATTGTTTCTCTGGTCTTGACTTAATTTTTGTATGTGTTACCTATCCAGAAAATTGTCCTTTTCTTTAAAAATTTCAGTTTTGTGGAGTACAGCTTTTCAAAGTATGACCTAATGATTTTCTGGATTTCTTTAGTGTCTGTTGTTATATCCCCTTTTTCATTTCTGATTTTGTTAATTTGGGTTGAGCATTGTTCAATTTCCTTGAGTTCATTCACTTCCTTAAATTAGTATTGTTGAATTCTAACATTAAGCCTTGGTGATCTGATAAGATACAGGGGTTTATTCCAATTTTTGCTTTTATCTGTTGAGATTTGCTTTATTACCAAATATGTGGTCAATTTTAGAGAAGGTTCTGTGAGGTGCTGAGAAGAAGGTATATTCTTTTATGTTTGGGTGGAATGTTCTAGAGATGTCTGTTAAGTCTGTTTGGATCATAACAGCTATTAATTCCCTTATTTCTCTATTAAGTTTATCCCTGATAGTCAGTCCTGTCCAGTAGTGAGAGTGGGGTGTTGACGTCTCTCACTATTAATGTGTCGTGTTTGATGTGTGATTTAAACTTATTAATGTTTCTTTTACAAATGCGGGTAACCTTGTATTTGGGGCATAGATGTTCAGAATTGAGACTTCATCTTGATGGACTTTCCCTGTGATGAATATGAAATGTTCTTCTTCATCTCCTTTAATTAATTTAGTTTAACATCTATTTTGTTAGATATTAGGATGGCTACATCCCTTTGTTCATTAGGTCCATTTGATTGGAAAATCTTTTCCCAACTCTTTACTCAGAGGAAATGTCTCTCTTTGAGGTTGAGGTGTATTTCTTGTTTGCATCTGAAGGATTGATACTGTTTTGGTATAGGCAAATTGAGTTCATTGATATTAATGACCAATGATTATTGATTACTGTTATAATTGGTTTTGTTGGTGGTGGTACTAGTGTTTTTGTGTTTTCCTTCTTTGTGGTTTGCTGGTGTGAGATTATCTGTTGCCTGTGCTTTTGTGGGTGCAGCTAACTTCCTTAGGTTGCAGGTTTCCTTCTAGTACTTTCTGTGGGCAGGATTTGTGGATAGATATTTTCAAAATCTGTTTTTTTATGGAATATATTGTTTTATCCATCTATGGTGATTGAAAGATTTGCTGGATATAGTAGTCTGGGCTGGCATCCATGGTCTCTTAATGTCTGCAGAATGTCTGTCTGGGACCTTCAGGCTTCTATTGAGAAGTTGGATGTATTTCTGATAGGTATACTTTTATACATTACTTGGCATTTTTCCTTTGCAGCTCTTAATATTCTTTCTTTATTCTGTATGTTTAGTGTTCTGATTATTATATGGTGAAGGGATTTTTTGGGGGGATCCAGTTTATTTGGTCTTCTGTAGGCTTCTTGTACCTTCATAGGCATATCCTTCTTTAGGTTGGGAACGTTTTCTTCTATGATTTTGTTGAATATATTTTCTGTGCCTTTGAGCTGGACTTCTTCACTATTTCCTATCTCTATAATTTTTTAAGTTTAGTCTTTTCATGGTGTCCCAAATTTCCTAGATATTTTGTGTCAAGAATCTGTTGGATTTGACATTTTCTTTGATGGATGAATCTATTTCCTCCATTGTACATCTGAGATTTTCTCTTCTACCTCCTGCATTCTGTTGGTTATGCTTGCATCTGTAGTTCCTACTTGTTTAACCAGGTTTTAAATTCCCAGAATTCCCTCAGTTTGTGTTTTATTCATTGCCCCTGTTTCAGTTTCCAAGTCCTTAATTGTTTCTTTCACTTGTTTGATTGTTTTTTCTCTTGGTTTTCTTGACTTTCTTTAAGGAACTTATTGATTCCTTACATTTTCTGTTTGTCTTTTCCTATACTTCTTTAGGGGAATTTTTAATTTCCTCTTTAAGAGCCTCTATCATCTTCATAAAGTTATTTTTAAGGTGGTTTTCTTTTGCTTCATCTGTGTTGGGATGTTTAGTTCTTGGTGTTGTAGAACCACTAGTTACTGGTGCTGTCATATTGCTTTTTAGGATGTTGAATGCATTATTACACTGTAGTCTTCCCATTTCTTCCTCCAATTGGTGCAGGTGGGGTCTATGGCTCTTGAGGTGTCTGATGCAGTGGAGGATGGTTGGGGGGCAGGGAAGATGTTACTGCCTGGTCCCTGGGTCTATGATTGATGGGGGTGGGACACAAGATGTGCCCCCAGGGGATAGAGCCTAGAGAACAGGGCTGTCCAGTTGGAAGCTCATACACTCACCTCTTCCTCCAGATATAGGTGACTGTGTGGTTCCCATTTTTTCTAATGTGCCAGTGGGCATGGTTTAGGGGCATGGAGTATGCTGCTATCTGGTTACTGGTCCTGTAGCAGATGGGGGTTGGGCACAGGATGTGCCCCTGGAGGGTGTGACCTAGTGAGTCTATAGTAAGACTTTTGTTCATGGGGGATTTGACCTGGTTAGACTTCCTCCTTATTTTGGATAATTAGTATAACTTATTTTCCTTAAAAGAACGAACAAGGATTTAGTGTATTTCATAATTCCAGAATATCAATGCTCTACTAAGCCCTAAAGAAAGTGAGTTCAAAATTACCTTTACCTGTTTTAATTATTTTCCAAAGAAATGTCCTCTTTACAAAATAAGATCAGGTTAGGAAATTTCATTTGCTTCTTCTGCTCCCCTCAGTGAAGACCCACTACCCTTTGCGGGGTCTGTTACCATGTCTTCACAAACCAGAGCAAATTCTACAGGCTTCATATGAACAGGCCTTAATCAGGGGACATATCTCAGCATAAAAAGAAATTCAGTTTTAAACATCAGGAATAATAATAATAATAATAATAATGTATAAATATCTACTCGAGGCTAAAACAACTTAGACTCTGTTCCATTCATCTAAGAGAAAAAATTTTTGAGTGGTCAAAGTAACTGTTTTCAAGTTCTCTTGTGGTCCTACTTTTGTGGAGCCCTGGGGTTCAGCTCATGTTTATGGGGATCCCTTCAAGTCTCTTGATTTTGTTTTCATGAACTGTAAGGAGTTGATATACTCTAGGAATCTTCCCCATACTAGATATACCCAAGGATTTAAAATTTCACCATTCATCTAGTAGCAAGAAGTGCTAGTAGCTTTAGGACGCTCATGAAAGCTTCCTCAGTACCCTGGACAATGGGAGCTATCAACTAGCATGAGCTTCCCCATGCTAAGCCTTGAGTTGCCCCTCTCCTGCTCCATTGTTCCTACTTACTGTGTACATGGAATACAAAGAGGAAGGATGTAGATATGGTCAGGGGTAGAACACTTGCCTGTAAAGGCCAAGACCTGGCTTGACCCCAATCAGAAAGGGAGGGGAGAAACGGATGAGGGAAGGGTAGTACTGGAGTTAAGTCATTTTTAAGAAGGCTAATACCAGCTTTAACAAAGGACCCACAGTTTGCTTCCCATGAGTCTCAGGCTGAATGACCTAGACACAGGTGGAAAGATGAAAGCCAAAGTATGAAGCAATGAGCAAGCAGCAATTTGGCGCTGGATGTATACCATGAGACATCCCGTTAGTTAATATATCTCTATAAAGAAGTCTATAGAACAGAGCCAAGCTGTACAGCATGATGAGTAGCAGCCTTATCAAGTCCATCTTTTATTCATCGAACATAAAAAATGTAGCAGGCAGCCTCTCGATTTTCTCTGAATGTCATCTCCTGGCAGAAGTCAATCATCACTTCCAAATTGATATTCCCATAACTACAGCCGGGCTACTTAAATATATTCTTCAACTTACAAAGTGCTTGCAATGTAAGTAGTGTTACCAACTTTAAACTTGAGGCTATGTGCTATTTTCTCTAGGCTGTACCATTACATCATCTTCTAAATATCAAACAAACGTGATTAAAAGTGTCAGGGCTTAAAGTTAGTGGGTCCTAACCCAACCTCTTCAATAGCTCTGCTGGGCATCTGAGTATGGGAGAAGGGGGTCCTAGGCTCTGCAGGCCTTTCTGTCAGCATCACCTTTCTCAAAGTTTGCATCCACAAGGTTGTCTTAGCCAAGAACCCCATGTGCACACGGCCACGTTGGGATTCTGTTGCTTTCTTTTCCTTAAGCGGTACAAGCTCATCTCTGATATTCCATTCACTTCATTATTAGTATTATTATATCTTTCACCATATTTACCCCATGGCTAAAGAACACTGCCAGACCATCCATCCCCATTCACATTCTCTTCAGAGCATAGTGAGAAGTCTCTTCTCTTAAGAGTCCTTAAATTGAAGGGACAGTGAGGAGCAGCACTTTGTGCCAAGTATTGGCTGACAGGAAAGTTCAAACTAACCCTGCCTCAAAGGGTAAACATTCTCACCTTCTTAGAGCAGAGGTTAGCATTTAATAAATTCTTTGAAAACACGTGTTTTCAACCTGATGTTTATTGAAACCCATCCTTCCCCAGGCAATCATCAAGGATGGTAGCAACAGTTATCCAGTTATCACTTAGATGGAGCCCTTGCTTGGTCTTTTTCAAAAATACAAGTAAATTTGGATCCAATGATTCTGCTTTCTACCCAACTCCCACCCCCAGAGGGAAGCATTGGCTTTCTTAACTGTTAGAATCTATGGGAAGACACAGGGAAAGTTCCTCTACTATGTGATGTTGTTTCTCCCCATGGCCAAAGAGGGAAGAGGAAATGTCTAGGTGACAGTGGTGGGGGCCCATGACCCTCCTCCTCTAACAGCCCGTCATGCCATTTCCAAAAAGAAATCAGCAGGAAGAGAGGTGATCTCAGAATGCCCAAGATAGATAGAATAGGGTATACTTATATGCAGCATGTGGTCCCTAGTCCTGGGGCTCCCAGAGACAGAAAAGGGCCTTCTGTGGAGATAAAGGGCACATGCCTTAAGAAATAGCTCCCCTGAAGACAACCCAGAGGTCCAGTGTCCTGGCAGATGCAATGGAGTCCTTGACGGAAGGAAGGGAGATGATGACCTCTGCCGGGGTCATGTAGGGGTCGTCCAGTCGGCACTCTTGGGGGCCTTGCACGTGTGCACATCCAGGGCCTCCAGGCAGTCCTGACAGCGAACAGCACAGCACCAGTGGAATTTACACTCACATTTGGTCATCCGGGTGACATGCGACGTGTCATAGCCTCTCCCGCAACACATGACTTCACAGCTGTCCATGCCTCGGGAAGTCAGGTTGCACACACGGCCTGCTGTACCCAGAGAGCCTAAAAAAAAAAAAACAAGCCAGAAAGACATCACTGAAAATGTTTGGGTGGATTACAATAGTCTGGACAGAAGGGTCACGAGGTTCATCCTTAGGAATAGAGCCTAGCCCAACCTCCTCATAGCTTGCTGAATCTGTGTCCTATGGGCCCTTGAGTTGTCCCTCTATGCAGCTGAGAGGTGTTCCAAGGGCAAAAGTTAGGAAGTGTGGACTAAGAACTTTGAATTTCTTTTTGGCCAGCTGAATCTGGAGTTCCTCCTTTCAATCGGATTGACTCTCCATGTCACCCTTACCCAGGCTTAAAATGAAGGGCCATTGGGTGGACAGGGCTAGATAAGAGAGAAACAAGATTTTCTCCCAATTCTTCCTCTTCCAACTTCAATTCATGAAAAGGAAGCTGTGGTCAGTGCCAGCTTTCTCTGAGTGGAGGGGGTATTGAATCTTGGAAAGGGGAGGAGTCTATTTCCCTAGACCTGCCTACACTGGCTTGGTAGGCCTAAGCAGTAGTTGATCGGCAGAGGGCATCTCATTTGTATCAGGCATTGAGGAGAGAGGGCATATCCTGGCCTTGTTCATCATTCTCCTTTTCTCTCTTGCAGTTTAGGAGACCACAGGAAGGATTAGTGTATTAATGCCATCCTAGTTAACCAATGTTCTAATTGCTAAGTGGCAGTCTGTATTTATGCATCTGTTTCTTTACAAGGAATTTCAAAGCTAGAGTTGGGTGTTGTATGTCTCACCCCTGTAATTCCAGCAACCACTGCAAAATTCATAGTCAATTGGGTCTATATATGGAGTTCCAGGGCAGACTAGGACATAGTGATACCCTATCTCAAACAAAGATATAAGAATTTCAAATATACAAAGCATTTGAACTTACTCTATCCCCAGGGAAACAGACACAGGTCTTTTACAACTTTATCCACCCCATCATGTCTACATTCTTGGTGTACAATCAAGTATAGTGGACGATTTTGCAGAGTTTTCTCAGCTTGCAATGACCCTTTCTACATCAGTCTTTCCTACCAAGATGAGCTGTTGGCAGCCATGATGTATAATATCACCATCCTCACTGGACCACAGGTAGGCACCTGACTCATCCTGGGCCAATAAGGTAGAGTTCCCAGGAGGTGGTTGCCATGCATAAAGTCAGAGTCTCCAGTCCAGGGTCACAGAGATACATGGATAAAGCAAATGTACAGAGCCAGGGAAGGGCAGGTAGAGCCAGGCAAAGGAGTCCTGCTCAAGCTGGACTATTGTTGGGTTCTTCTCTCATCTCTTCTGGGGTTCTGGCCACACACCAACCTTGGAGGTTATTGAGATGCATTTTCTCCTATAATACAGTTTGAACACCGTGTCTGACATATATTAGGCAAGCACTCTGCTACTGAGCTACAAACCCAGCGGAAAAGCTCTTTATCCTTCTACTAACTGTCCCTTTGAGCTTAACTGCTCCTATTTCTATTATAACCAACAACGCTAAATAACTGACAAACCTACAGAAGAAAAATAAGGATTTAACTTTTTTTCCCACTTACACCTCGTGACTCTGTTTATTGCTGTCTTCGCAGTGTGAAAATTATCTGCATGAGTGTCATGTTGTTCTGCCTGTGCAGAATGACCAGGGAAACGGCAGGGTTCAAGCAGGGTGTGAGGTCAAGAAAAGGAGAGGGTGGGCCAGCCTTGCTGTGCGTGATCAGCTACTGGGAGCAGGAAGACAGACAGAGGAGCTTCCTGAGGACAGGAAGGATGGCAGAGGGCCGGGCCGGGGTGGAGGGTGGGTCAGCCAGGGATGGCCCTGAGCCTGCATCATGCTGAAGAAGGCCAGGTTTAGCAGAGACAGCAGCTGGGCCTGGATTAGGATGACCATCAGAAAAGTCTCCTCAAAAATCACCAATTGTGCAAAAAGCGTTCACTGCCAAAAGCTGGCTTTGAACATCACACCCGTTGTTTCATTTGATAAACATTTTTCGTTGACATAAACATGTATAAGATGCTGTGTTGGCTGCTTGGGCTTTGGGAGGCAGGGAAGAACTAAAATAAGCACGAGCCAGCTCCTGTCATCAGCAATGGAGAGATCAGTGTGTGGAGAGGTACTACCCCAACCTCCACATCATGACTTCATCTGTTAGCAACCTACTGGAAACCACAGTAGAATCCTATTCAGGGTATCATGGCGGCCAAAGCTCAGACTGTAAAGCCAAGATCTTTAGGGTGTGCAAATAAGGGGTTTTCTTGTAGTGTTGCCATGTGGCAACTGTACTGTTGTGATGAAGTACTTAAACGTACGTACACAGGCTTCCTTTTCCTCTCTTCCACGAAACCAGCTCCTTCTTCACTGGGCTTCAGGGAGGAAGGACTTTATACATGGAAGTGTCTGTCATAATAAGTGCTCCACAAGGTGAAGCATCCGTTTATTTAGCAAGTGTTTACTGAGACCTACGATGTGGTAGGCTCTGGGGGTTATCAGAGAACAAAGTGAGGATGCTGTCCTGAGGCACTTACATCATTGTCACAATGAGACTTCTTAATATGGGTTTTAGTAGCAGGATACAGGACTGGGAAAGAGTCCTCAGCTACATGGTTTGAACCAGAAGGTGGCATTAGAGAGAGAATGTAAAGGATGGGTTGATGCTTAGGGAAAGGATGGAGTGACGGGCATTTCTAGACACAAGAAGCTTCTGGCAGAAATGCTTCAGACAGCTGCACAGGAGAGCAGATTTAGTATGGCTGAGGAGCAGGGCGTGTATTCTGTACTAAGCATAGAAAAGAAGATGGCAGCAACAGGTTAAAGGGCACCTTGCTTGGGCAGAGCCTTGGTTTTTATCATAATGGGTGTAAAACTAGTGTAGATTTGAATCCAGGAAAAACATACCCAAGTCTGTTAGAATGACTGGGAGCAGGGAGGCCAAATGTGAGCTCTCGGAAGAGTCCAGGCAAGAGGCCATGAGGGGAGGCAAAAGGACACGGCATGAGAAGCCTCAGAGGGTGAGCCACTAGAATTTGGCAATCTATTCAAGTCTGGGGTTGGAGGTGGAGGGGTCAAGTAGGAAATGACCAAAACATGTTCATTTGGCTTCACAGTGAGAAGAGAAGCATGTGATTGGGATGATGCTATGGACTGGGGGTGGAGGATGGAGGGAGGAAAGGCTGTGTAAAAGACAGTCCAAGTCCTCAAGGAGCATGATGGCGAAGTCGACTTAAAAGACAGCTGTGGGGACAGAGATGGATGAAGCTAGGACCTCCAGGTCATTCCAGGCCATAAGTGTTTGGGTGAATCGTTACACATCAACAGAAAAGGCTGACACAGGCTTTCACTTCGAGCTAGTTTTCCTTTAGACAAAGTGTAGAATTGGGATAAACTAGCCATGAATATTTGAAGTTGGGGTAGTGATTTTTTGTACGGGTAGGGACAAAGAATATGAGGGAGCCTCTAGCATACTGAGATTCTTTAAGGTCATGATGTGGGCACACGGTATATAGATGTGCTTAATTGAGGAAATTTGCTGTATTATGGCTATAGCAAATGCAGGTAGTGTTATTTGAACTTTTCCACATGTGTTATGTATCTTAGTAAGAAGAATATGATAGAGGGAGAAACAAAGAGGAGGAGGCTACATGGCCAGAAGCTCTATGTGAGGAGCAAAAAGGCACTCTACATGGCTGGGATTCAGTGTTCAAAGGGTAGAGACTGGAGATGTGAGTAGAAGTCACATTGTTAATGGCTTTAGGTAATAGGGAAGGGGGATTACACATTATTGTGCCAGCAACAGATTTCTTTTTTTCTTTTCTTTTCTTTTCTTTTTTTTTGGTTTTTCGAGACAGGGTTTCTCTGTATGGCTTTGGAACTCACTCTTGTAGACCAGGCTGGCCTCGAACTCACAGAGATCCTCCTGCCTCTGCCTCCCCAGTGCTGGGATTAAAGACATGTGCCACCAACGCCCGGCCTCAGCAACAGATTTCTGTTCATGGTTTTCATGTACAGAGCAACATGTGTTTAATTTGTGTTTGAGGAGGCAAAGCAATGTGCTGGGGCTGAATATACTGAAGCAAGCTAAAGTAGGGAAAGGAGATAAGTTAGAGACCCAAACAGAACTGTGAGTCAGGCAGAAGATGGCCTAGATTAAGACACTGATGGTGAGGAATAGAGAAGATAGTTGAAGATGCAGGACCAGTAGCTGGTGACTGATGGGTGGATGGGAAAGGAATAGAAGAGTTAAGCAGGGCTTCCAGGGTTGGGTCTAAGCAGTCATGTTGGTCCCCGATGTGAGAAATGCCTGGGAGTGGCAGACTTAGTAAAGATGAGTTTAGTTGTTAGCATATTGAGTTTGCTGTAATTACGGGTTGTAAAGGTAGGGCTAGTATGGGGAGGTGAAGAGTTTTATTCCCCAAATCAGGCTATTGGTTTCTAATGTGGTGGTCTTTCCCAGTGACCTGAAGCCTAAGGATATCCAAGACAATAGTTTCACTTAGCACCAGGGAATTGTCATGATAGATTTTGTTTCCCAAATGCAGAAATCTGGACTGGACTCCCTCTGAACCCAAGGGTTCTTTGTCAATTGAGTTAAACACCACCTAAACTCAGGGAGGAAAGGCAAGAGAGGACAGTGGACATTAGAAAACCCTCCTATAAAAGTGGTTTCAGAGCCAGACCTGGTGGTCCTGGCCGATAATCCAGCTACTTGGGAGACTGGAATAGAATGAATTTAGTCACAGAGTGGGCTACAGAGTGTGGGTTCAAGGCCCATCTGAGCAACTTAGTAAATTGTGAAAATAATTTACAAAGTAAACAAAAACCAACAACAAACAAACAAGAAAGTAAACTGAAAACAAAAGAGGGTTGAGGATACGGCTCACAGGTAGAGTACTTGGCTAGCATGACGGCAATCCCTAGTGTCAAAGAGAATGACAAAAGGTAGCTTTGGTGTGTGAAACAAAAGCAGGACATGAAGTGTATTAGTTCCTCATTCAGGCAGAAGTAATGTGAACATGCCACTCACC